AACTAGTAACATCAGAACAGACGAAAGCAAATTTAACTTTTCGGATTGAAAAACAGCCATTAATTGTCATTATTATTGTTTTAGTTATGTCACTCTAACCCTAACCATGCCCATCTTCAATTTTTTCCCCACACAATCGACTTTTCTCATTAGTGTGTGAGAATTTGCTCCTGATGTGTGCAGGTGTGTGTTTGCTAGTTTTAATGCAAAAAAACAATGCTTTTAATGGTTAATTTTTATACAGGAAGATGCCAATTCTATAGACACTTAACTGTAAAACCTGTCAATTTCTATCAACAGCTTATTTCTCACCTCAGCTAAACATTTTCCACACTCTCTTAGAAGTCAGCTGGTAGCGCAGTGCAGATTTCTCAGCACACACTTCTTCCTCAAAAGTGTTGTTGTTCTCAGATGTGATATAAACTACCACCGCCATCAGTGTGTGTTTGTGTGTGGGGGGGAGGTTAATGAGTTTATGTTGCTCTTAGCTCCCTTTTTCTCACTCTTATTCTCTTCTTCTCTTTCGATCGCTCTTTTTCTTTGTGCTTGAATCAGACCTTCTGTTCTCTTTTTTCTTTCTTTTTTGGGCTTTCTTGGGAGAGATCAGAGAAAATTCCAAATAGCTTTAGTATAAAAAATTGATTATATATAATAATGTATATATTTCTTCCCTTTTTCTCTCTCTCTATGCACCAGCAATGCAACATTTGGTCACTCCACCTGCTGCACTGACACCTCACATATAGATACACTCTGGTCTTTGAAGATGTTCCCATGAGTTTGTGCAACCTGCTGGTCACAACTCTCACATTTGTCATAGGTGCAATAAATGAACACGGATAAAAAAAGCACATCCTTGGATAAACAATGCCTGGACACATGTCAGTGTGAGTGTGTGCTGCTGGGCAGTTGATTCAGTTATAGGAAACAGCAGGATGGAAATCCCTACGCAGAAGAGGTGTGTGTATGGAAACTGAATGGTATTTTATGTTTTTGTTAAGTGTATGAGTTCTGTACATGTGACCCAGCCTTGATAACAAATTTCGAAAGTCAGTTCTGACATTCGTGTTTTTGTACTGAACAAACTGGTTGCTTTTGTTTTGTTACAGTACTCGATACCCATTAAGCCACTTTAACTAAATATTCAGACTTTTGTATTAGAATCAGAAAAAAATTTATTGCACATGGAAATGTATTTTTGAGGTGGCTTACACAGTTACACATTGATTAAAAAACATACATGTAGCAATATATATATATATATATATATATGTATGTATGTATTCACACACTGAACTGTTGTAAGACTATAAAGTGAAAATATAAGCATGTGTTAGAGTACCAACTTGCTTGTTTATCATGTTATTGCTGGTTGGTATTAATGATTCTTAAAATATATACATCCTGGCCAGAGGGTTTTTACATCAACGGTCTAATGGGAAGAGTTAGAATGATTTACAGAGGGGGTGTGAGGGCTCCTGTGTGAGATGGGTGTAGAGATCTTATAGTGAGGACTGGGTGGTGTCTCTTATTTTACTTACATGGTTAATACTCTTGAAAAACTTGTTTTTAACAGAGAGAAAACTGCACCAGGATGTAATGTTGAAAGTGACTCAGTGAGTTACTTGGACAGCTCTAAAAATGTGTTTCCTGACATTAAAACACAGGAGTTTCCTCAGCAGAAGGAGGCGCTGGGGACCTTCTTGTACACAGAATCACTGTGCTCAGGAAGAGCTTCTGTCTTTTTAAGTGCCCAGGTATCTGAAGGCCCCCCACCTGTTCAACCACCTGCCATTTTAATTCAAGGGGCTCAAAAAGTGGGTGGGCAGCTTCACCAGATGTTAGCATCCCATAGCAGAGATGTTCAGCTCTCATCAATGAGGGCCATCAGATAGTCCACATACTGGTGATACGCTGACAAAGAATTTACATCAGTCAGTAAGCCACTTGGGCCACCTCAGCTGCTTTATAGCTTTGCACCATTAGGTGTTTGGCTATCTACTTCCTGCTCCACTTCAAATATGTTTTAAATGAGTTTGATTCTACTCCACTCCAAATACACTGAGAATGAGGACTTTCCAGCGAAGGAGACATCTTTCTTTCTAGTAGTTAAATAAATAATTGCACATTTAATTCTGGATTTTTCAATGAGGGAAAAGGAATATGTGTTGAAAAAAACATTTAAACAATAGTATTTCTATATTTCTTAAAATGTGTATGGAGAGGATCTTTAAATAGCTTGGCTGCCATACAGCCTCTGATTGCATGATGTCCTGTGTTAGTGTCCCTATTAGCGCTCTCCAGTGGACGAGCAGCGACAGTAAGTGCACATCCATCGCTTTGATTGAGATACACAGCGGATGTCACCACAATTCCCAAGTTAAAATTGTGGCCTATGGCAGCTGGTTAAGTGAAGCATAAAGACCTCTACAGGGAATAAAGTACAGTAGCCTGTATGTCGCCTAACATCCAGCCACACTCCACTGTATTTACAACACATCACATTTCTATTCCTAAAAAAAGGAAACAATACATATGTTAAAGCTATTATATGGTGGCACGTTTTGTAAAAATGTACAAATAGTGTAAACATTTTAAAGTGAAATGTCAGAATTTATAGTTCCGATCAGGAGAATTATAACAGTAATGAAACTGTAATAAAACCTATTTCTGAGCATTCCAGCAGCACCACAGAGATAAAAAAAAAAAATATATCAAACTTGCTTTCAGACCCTCCACGCTTAGGGT